TGGGGCCGAAGTCTTGGTAAAACATGAGCGGATATCTCTTCCGCCTACCATGAGTTATTTGTTAACTCAAAATTGGGCACTAATGATATCTGACATTTGCATTTGCAAGTTTTCTACTTTTTCAGTGTTCAGAGACTAAGAAAATTGTTTGAATTTTCTGAATTGGTGTGAAAATTTTGAGAATATCCTCACCAAAAGAACTGTTTAGGAATGGTAGAGCCGGTGGCTGCGCTTGGTGGTGCTGCAGCGGTGATACTGATGGAGCCTGTGCTACCGTACGCACTGAGTTTCGCTGCAGGCGCGATGATCTACGTGGTAGTGGATGACATTATACCAGAAGCACAGAGGAACGGCAATGGCAAGTTGGCTTCGTTGGGTGCGATTATTGGATTCATAGTGATGATGTCCATGGATGTGGGACTTGGATAGTAGTGATCGATTGGAGTTGTTTTAATGACTTGTGATATTTATTACGTTGATTATTATTGTGTTGATTTATTATTATTAGCACTCATATTACTGTACATCTTCGAATAAATAACCACAACTATGCTTTATATGTCGGGTCGGGAAGGACTGGGCCACTTACGATCATTGTCATAATTACTATTGTGCATTTGTGTTGTTACTGTATATGATCAATGTACACAGTTGATCTAGTTGATCTAGAGATGATTGATGTTTTTATATTTGATCGTTCCGTGTATCGTTCTTGTACTGTTGTTCGTTGTGCCATTTGGTCATCTCAATATTATTTCAGCACATAATATTGCATTGCGTTGTGTGTCTATTTCGATTCAACGTCAAAACTGAAATCAAATTTTGGTGAACTTAAATCAAATTTCATTAATCTAAGTTTGGATTGTGTGTTCGTGCTTATTTCTGATAGTTATTCATTTTGTTATTATTATTATCATTAATATCGTTATTATTATTACTGTCATGGCACTGATGATTTCGTGTAAGCCATGATAAGATGTGTTAACGGTTTGTGGATGAGACCGGTACGGAATTTGTCTTCACCTTGTGGATATTCGCTTGGGATTTGTTTTTACTCGACCAATTCAATGCCCTTACGGCGCATTTATGTTTCTTAAGATGCCTCCGTTCGATGTATTTCTTTGTCATTGAAATCATTTGTTTCATTGAAAGTGTTTTTTATTTTTATTTTCTCAATTTTTGTCTCGAAAATTTGTTTCTGTTTCCATTCCGAATCATTACTTCGTTAATGAATATTCCTCTCACCGATCTGTTTCAATCAATCAA